TTTTTTTTTTTTTCCTTAATTATGACTCTAAGCATTATGAAATTCTCATTTGCCCTCTTCGTTAACAAAAGATTAAATTATACTTTCCAGATTTGATGTTGCCATATCCTAACTCAATGAAAACTTAAGAAATTTCAAATTATATTTTTTATGTGTACTATACTATCTTTTGTCATAATACCCACCACACTAACAGAGAATTTATCCAGTGCAGTGGTAAACATGTAATGAATATAATAGTATCCTCACTTTTCATTGTAAACTTTTACTTAATAGAAGTATTATGTGATACTTCCATTATAAGTATATATGATACACTTATGTAGTAACATGTGTTATATATTAAGAGCATATGTATTATACAAGGTTATATCTGTAAATTTTTAACTATAGAATGTAACACTATTTATTTATTTTTTCTTCCTTATTCCATATACTTTGCAGTTTAAATAATGCTATTTAGATTGCCTTTTTTTTGAGATGGGGTCTCACTATGTTGCCCAAGCTGGTCTCAAGCTCCTGGGCTCAAGCAATCCTCCTGCCTCAGTTTCCTAAGTAGCTGGGATTACAGGTGCAAACCACCACACCTAGTTTAGATTGCTTTTATACCTAACATTCTGAAATGTTTACATAAATTAGGCTAATATGTCCTTTCTATAATTTTCTTTTGTCAAATCCTTTCCCTGGAATGAGAACATAATTTTATTTATTTATTTTTAATATTAGTGTTAGGGATAGGGTCTGACTGCTAATTTTCTTGATTCTTTTTCCCTAGAGAAGTAGTAACTAGAATATTCTGTATCTCTTGCATGTTATAAAGTGAAATAAATTCCTACTAATTATCCTTCAGCTACTTTAGCTTGGGCTTTTCAAACAGAAGTAAAGTAAGATTTATGAAGGTTAATTCTATAAACAGTAATAGTTTGTTCATAGTAACATGCCTAGCCATGCTAGCAAGGAGATAACTGAAGTTGTCAACATTATGTGTCTTAAATGCCCTTAAAATATTCTGCAGAATTTGTTAGATCTCTTTACTTTTATATCTTTCTGTTAATACTGTAAATGTATATAAGGGCTTTAATGTCAGATGTTATTTTTCTTTAAGTATTTATTTGGAAAAAAGTGCTTTTCTTTAATATTTGTATAGTTATCATCTTAAAAATCAACTCTTGAAAAAGTCATCCTTAGTACTGTTTTCTTTATTTTCAGACAAGGGGGGCTGCTTTTTTCATTATTGCTGTGATCTGTTTATTGCTTTTCGACAATGATGATCTCATGGCTAAAATGGCTGAACACCGTATCCTTTTGCAATAGATGGGATATTTATTTAAAGTCTTACAGAAAAATAGAAGACTGCCAGAATGGAAAAATAAGGAGTAAATGAATTAAACTGATCAGCGATGAATAAAACCTTCATAGATTAATGTAGATGTTCTAAATCAGTATTCAAATAATGAACAAATTAATTCTAAGTTAAATATTTTATAGCATCTCAATATCTTCTACGGTACCCTAAGTTTTCAGAAATTTAAGAACATTGAAAGAATATTTTAGAGTGGTCTGGTGTTTAAAAAAAATAGATGATTTACCTCTCAACCTAATCTCTTTGCTACCTTATAATTTACAATTTAAATGTTTCTAAATGCAGAACCTTTGGCATCTTCTTGCCTGAAAGAAAAAATTCAGTTTCTCTTACCTGTTATTTATCCTCTTGCTCCAAATTATTTCTACTTCAGCCTCCACTCTTCCCTTGTGTAAACCCAACTTTCTAGTCAAATATGACTACTCATTTTACTCTACGGACGAGCTTTGTTCTCTCCTATTCACACACCTTTACCCATTCTATTCAGCAGAACTCAGAGCACCAGTTTTGATTCTTCTAGATACTGATACTCACTGCCCTAAAACTTATTAGTACTTTGTTACAATGAGAGAGGAGCATGATTTTGAAAAAGCTCAGAGTTGCTTGTGATACAACCTTTATTCCCCACTCCCCACCCCTTTTGCTTGCTACTTCCTTTCCTGAGGCTTATATGGTCAGTGACCTAAAAGACAAATTTAGGACTGATTTTACATGTTACTAAAAAAGGGCAACCTCACTTTCACTGAACAGGAATGATCCAAGGAGATTCCTTGCTTTTGTCCCTTTGTACTACTTACAGTATGTATGCATATGTCTTTTGGAAGTTAACTACTGAAATGTAGCAACTTTATCTTAAGCACTATTATAATTGTTTTAGAGAAAATAATTGAAATATAGGCATTCCAATTTGTAAATGAGGTCCTGGAATTAAATGTTATATTGTTTTGTTTTGCTTTGTTTTTAAGGGAAACATGTTATTGAGGGTAGTCAGGTTTGGGGCCCCCAGACCAGTGTATACTCAACCCAAAATAATGCAGCTAAAATTTCAGGAGAACTTCAGGTTTCAAGGAGATAATTTTTGGAATTTTTACCTTTACTCCAACTCACTTAGCTGAAGGACATCATGACAGTGCTCTAACTCACATGCTTTACACAGCCATTGCCTTCTTAGGTGTGGCAGATCACAAGGTATGTTCTTTTCTTTGTTGCTAAGGGAATGAAAAGATTCTGAAAAGTTATAGGAACTCTAACTATAAAAGTACATTTGAAGTAGGTTATCAGTAATTTACAGTATTGCCTGCCATTTAATAGTTAAGTGAGGATATGGAAAAAACATACTAGTTCTGCTTCTTCAAATATCACATATTTGAGTGTTGCACTATATGTGTTTCTAATGAGACTTACCTAATTTTACTTACAGGGTGGAGTATTGTTACTAGTACTGGCTTTGTGTTGTAAAGTTGGTTTTCATACAGCTTCCAGAAAGCTCTCTATAGATGTTGGTGGAGCCAAACGTCTTCAAGCTTTATCCCATCTTGTTTCTGCTCTTCTCTTATGCCCATGGGTCATTGTTCTTTCTGTGACAACTGAGGTAAGAGCAAGAATTTACTGGTAGAACTAAAATGAATTCCTGTTATTTAAAATTTTAGTTTAGTATTTTAGTTTGGTATTGTATTTTATTTTAATTTGAGGTTGAAAATGGCTTTTAAAATATCTTTGCTTTTTCTCTGTAGTTTTTAAAACAATATTTTGGAGTTAATTTTATTGTTTATAAAACATAATAAATCGCTGGGCGTGGTGGCTCATGCCTGTAATCCTGTAATCCTAGCACTCTGGGAGGCCGAGGCAGGCGGATTGTTTGACCTCAGGAGTTCGTGACCAGCCTGAGCAAGAGCAAGACCCCGTCTCTACTAAAAATTGAAAGAAATTAGCTAGACAACTAAAAATATATATACATAAAAAAATTAGCCGGGCATGGTGGCGTATGCCTGTAGTCCCGGCTACTTGGGAGGGTGAAGCAGAAGGATTGCTTGAGCCTGGGAGTTTGAAGTTGCTGTGAGCTAGGCTGATGCCACGGCACTCTAACCCAGGCAACAGAACAAGACTCTGTCTCAAAAAAAAAAAAAAATAAAACATACAAATCAAATACTATTACATTTACATATTCCTCACATCCCAAAGGAATCACGTTGAAGAAACAACAATTAAAAACTACATGTTATGCTTAAGCATTGTGGGTCACTTAGTATTTATCAAATTATTAATAATCCCTTTTTGGTTTGGTTTGGTTTTTTGAGACAGAGTCTTGCTCTGTCATCCAAAGGAAACAGTTGAAGAAACAACAATTAAAAACTACATGTTAGGCCTAAGGATTGTGGGTCACTTAGTATTTATCAAATTATTAAACAATAATCCTTTTTTGGTTTTGTTTTGTTTTTCGAGATAGGGTCTTGCTCTGTCGTTCAGACTGTAGTGCAGTGAGTAGCACAAACATAGCTCACTGAAGCCTCGAACTCCTGGGGTCAAGTGATTCTCCCATCCTAGCCTCCTCAGTAGCTGGGACTACAGGTGTACACCACCATGCCAGGCTAATTTTTTTTTTTTTCCAGTTTTTTGTAGAGATGGGGTCTCACTGGGTTGCCAAGGCTGGTCTCAAACTCCTGGCCTCAAGCAATCCTCCTACCTCAGCCTCCCAAAGTGCTGGGATTATAGGTGTGACCTACCATGACTGGCCAATGCTTTTTGTTTTTTAATCCTTTGGAGAATACTGGAGAGAAGTGCCAATATCTTGTAGCTCTTAAGTCTTGGTATGAAACATATTGAATCATGAGAATATCTGCTTATACATAAGATTAACAGAAGCATCTTGTGAGATATGAACTTTATACCCATATAGTCTTGACTTTTTTTTTTTTTTTTAATTTCTAGAGTAAAGTCGAGTCTTGGTTTTCTCTCATTATGCCTTTTACAACGGTTATCTTTTTTGTCATGATCTTGGATTTCTATGTGGATTCCATTTGTTCAGTCAAAATGGAAGTTTCCAAGTGTGCTCGCTATGGATCCTTTCCCATTTTTATTAGTGCTCTCCTTTTTGGAAATTTTTGGACACATCCAATAACAGACCAGCTTCGGGCTATGAACAAAGCAGCACACCAGGAGAGCACTGAACATGTCCTATCTGGAGGAGTGGTAGTGAGTGCGGTATTCTTCATTTTATGTAAGCATGTTCTTCCTTGTTTTTATTTTAACAAATTTCTCTCTATGGATTCCGATGATCAAATCTTTTATTTAATTTGGGACATTCTCCAGTGTTTGCATTTAGTGCTGACAGTTACCTTGTTGGTTTTTGATAGCTTAAACTTTTAAACCTTTTGTAATATCCTTTTTTTTTTTTCTTTTTGCAGCTGCCAACATCTTATCATCTCCCTCTAAGAGAGGACAGAAAGGTACCCTTATTGGATATTCTCCTGAAGGAACACCTCTTTATAACTTCATGGGTGATGCTTTCCAGCATAGCTCTCAATCAATCCCTAGGTTTATTAAGGAATCACTAAAACAAATTCTCGAGGAAAGTGACTCTAGGCAGATCTTTTACTTCTTGTGCTTGAATCTGGTAAGATTTTTAAATATTAGTGGCATATCTTAAAAGCTTAGTATTTTAATTTTAACAGTTCTGGTATAATTTTAGTAATTCCCAAATTTATGATAATTAGAAATGGGCTAAAATTTACATTTTCTCTAAATACTAACAGAATTACAGGATCATATTCGGACTACTTGTGTAAAGTTTTTGAGGCATTTAGAAGTGTTCATTTAGTATGCTCTTTCAAATGAGTAAATACAGTGGTATTTAAGGAGTTTTATCTACTCCTTATAGGATTTCACTACAGACCACTGATTGCTAACACTTTATAGCCTTGTTTATTATTTTTTACAGATGTAAAAATAAAGAACTGTCCTTTTAAATAGTTTATAAAATAAATATATCTGATTTATCTTAGTTTCTTACAAAATTTATATGAAATGAGGTTTCTGGTATAAGTACCAGAAATACCACTAAATACCTAAAGAGGCAAAGTTATAGCAGATGTTCAATTAAGGTTTGTGTAATTAAAGATTAAAATCATCATGATTGAACTCTGATAAATCTCTATTGAAACATATTTCCCAACATACTCCTCCCTTTTTTTTTTTAATATTTTTAGCTTTTTACCTTTGTGGAATTATTCTATGGTGTGCTGACCAATAGTCTGGGTCTGATCTCAGATGGATTTCACATGCTCTTTGACTGCTCTGCTTTGGTTATGGGACTTTTTGCTGCTCTGATGAGTAGATGGAAAGCCACTCGGATTTTCTCTTATGGGTAGGTACACTATCAAGGTGATAAAGCATAATAAAAAAATATGAAGTGCAAATTCCATTTTAGGAAATAAAATTGTATTACTTTTAATACAAATAGTTTTCAGATCTTCATTTTTCCTTAATTTGAAGAAGATAAGGGGATATGAACCAAGTGTTTGATAAGTATTGAATGGCAGTAAATTCAAGATTATACTCCCTGACAAATCCTCTTTTTAGTCAGGGGGCAAAATTCAGTTAAAATCTTGAGTTCTTTGCTCAACATGTTTCTTTGAGGCAATGGAATGTCCATGGTCATTCACATCTTTGCTGTTAGAAAGAGTATTCAAAATTTGAAGTGGCTATACATGAAAATATCCTTCCATTAAGCAAATAATTCATTTCAGCAAATACTAGAATCCCTTTTTGTGAGACATTTTGATAACATGTACTCTAAATTAATAAATTCAGCTCTTACTCTCAACTGTTTATATTTTGAAAGATGGATGAGCCAAAAATATTAAAGATTTTGGTACAAAGCAGAATCTGTGTGCCATGACAGAGATAGAGCGCATCAAGTGTTTAAAGCAGGGAGAAATATTAATATTAATAACTCCTTGCTAGAAAATTAGGAAAAGCTTTGTGTAAGAGGAACACTAAAGGACTTTGATGAATATATAAAATTTTAACAAGGAGTTATATGTACAGAAAGACCTTCCAGCATTAATATAATATTTAAAATAATGGTAATTTTCTAATGTTATTATTTAGTAGTTTTAAAATCTGGACTTGTTTCCTCATTATAAAGTAATAATGTTTATACTTTTAAAATATTTGTCATTTTCCTTTTCTAAAAAGTATTCTATGTTTTTAGGTATGGCCGAATAGAAATTCTCTCTGGATTTATTAATGGACTTTTTTTAATAGTAATAGCTTTTTTTGTGTTTATGGAGTCAGTGGCTAGATTGATTGATCCTCCAGAATTAGACACACACATGTTAACGGTAAGTCTTTTTATTTTTTTATTTGAATTTCTACTCATAAAGTTTTTTCCATGTCAAAGTTTAACTATAGTTATTGATAGGGGAAGGTTTTATTTTTTACTTAAATCAACACATTAATAACTTCCTATCTTGCTATTTACATATACTGTTGACTCTTAGAAATCAATCAGTCTGGCTGGGCGTGGTGGCTCCCGCTTATAATCCTAACACTTTGGGAGGCTGAGGCAGAAGGATTACTTGAGGCCAGGAGTTCAAGACCAGCCTGGCAACATAGTGAGACCCTGTCTCTACAAAAATGAAATATTTGGAAGTAGGGTCATTACAAATGTAATTAGTTAAGATGAAGCCAGGCCCAGCGGTACACATCTGTAGTCTCAGCTACTCGGGAGGCTGAGGCAGGAAAATCGCTTGAGCCCAGGAGTTTAAGGCTGTAGTGTGTTATAAACCCACCTGTGAATAGCCACTGCACTCCAGCCTGGGCAACATAAAAGAGATCCTGTCTCTAAAAAAATATAAAAAATAAATGTGCAGGATGTGGTGGCATACACTTGTAATCCCAGCACTTTGAGAGGCCGAGGCAGGAGCATCCCTTGAGGCCAAGAATTTTAGACTATCCTGGGCAACATAGGGAGACCCTGTCCCTATAAAAAGTTTTTAAAAATCAGCCAGGCATGGTGGCACGGCCTGTAGTCCCAACTACTTGGAAGGCTGAGGTGGGAGGATCACTTGAGCTCAGGTGTCTGAGACTGCAGTGAGCTATGATCTCAACACTGCTCTCCAGCCTGGGCAACAGAATGAGACTCTGTTTTTTGTTTTTAAAAAAAGAAAAAGAAATCAAAGAATCCTTTTTCTCTAATATTTTAATAGTCAAAATATTAGATGACATTGTAAAATATACAGGTTATTAAATGGTTTTGTTTAAAGATGTGTTTTTAAATACTTGAGTAAATGTGCACAATGTTAGAGAGAAAATCAGAAAAAAAATATAATTTTAAAGGCTTCACTCTATATATTCTATTATTACTATAAGAACTTTTAATGTGCTCCCTATACCACCAAAATTTACATGTGCTATTCCTTGTAGTTGTTAATGTCCTTGCCTCACTTCTGCCCTTAAGCCTCCTTCAAGATTTTGCTTGTATGTCTCCTCTGGTGGAATATTTTCCCTTCATCCCTCTCTTCCTTCTTCAGAGTTTGTTAGATACCCCTTCTCTATATTCCGATTATATTTTGTGCATTCTTTTAGCAACACCGAGTTGCAGTTGTTTAATTTGTCATTCTTCCACAATTAAGATAGAAGTATCTTCAGGACCTGAATTGTGTATCAGTAACTCATAAATTCTAGCACCTGACTTGTAGGCAATCAGCAATTAATTGTTGAATGACTAAAAGCAGTTCTGAGTCTTACTGGTGGGAACATACACTAGTAAAATGTTTTTGAGGTACAGTTTGGAAATATACCCTAGATTTTTAAATGCTCATATCCTTTGACCTTTAATATTTATCATATATAAACATTCACACAAGTGTATATAAGTACATGATTCATCATACTATTGTTTATAAAAGTGGAAAAAATGGAGATAATCCAGTGTCCCCCAGTGAAAGAAATAATTAAATAAATTTGTTATAATAGAATACCATACAGCTATTAAAAAGAATGAAGTATTCCTTCTCCACTCCCACTGCTCCACTTGACCAGCCTTTAAAAAAAAAAAAAAAGAACGAGGTACATCTATATATACAGTTAGAATATATAATAGAATACTATAAAATGAAAAACAAATTGCAAAATAGTATTAGAATATGATTGTAGTAGTGGTTTTAAAAGGTATATGTGTATGTATGTTAATAAGGAGTTTATTCTTTGGAGTATTGTGGCACCATTAAATCAAGATAATTTCATTCACTTTATTAAGACAAAAATGGGAGATTACTATTATATATTTGCTTTTTCATTGTACATTTTTTACTTTGGAAAATTTTACTATATTTAAGACACAGTAAGACTGTATTCGGAATTCATACATTAATAAATCATAATCATTGCTATACAAACTGTTCAAATTTACCTAGTAATATAAACAAGATTTAAGGTACAGTGTATACTTACACTAGTAAGCAATACTTTCAAACTCTTTATTTAAATAAACAAAACAAAACTTTGTATCATTTATTTATATATAAGCCATGAATCAAGTATATATCATTCTTTTTGTTTTGTTTTGTTTTTATTTTGTTTTGTTTTGAGACAGAGTCTCACTCTGTCACCCTGGGTAGAATGCAGTGCCATCATCATATATATACAGCTAGAATATATAATAGACTACTATACAGCTATTAAAAAGAATGAGGTATATTTGTATATACTGGCATGAAAAATATTTACAAGATGTACTAGGTGAAAAACAAATTGCAAAATAGTATTTTAATACGATTCTATTAGTGGTTTTACAGCTCACTACAACCTCAAACTCCTGGTATCCTCTTGCATCAGCTTCCCAAGTAGCTGGGACTACAAGGGGACCAACCATGCCTGGCTAATTTTTTTTTTTCTGTTTTCAGTAGAGACGGGGTCTCGCTCTTGCTCAGGCTAGTCTCAAACTGCTGAGCTCCAGCAATCCTCCTGCCTCAGCCTCCCAGTATATATCATTCTTAATCACTTAAACTAGAGTATGTCCAAATTCCTCTACCTATCAGTTTTGTTTGATATTTGAAACTTAAAATGTTTCTTCTAAAATATTCTACAGTTCACATTTTTAAAATTTTGGACTTACTGAACTTAGTGAAGTTTTACTGTACATACTTTCAAAACTGTAAACAGAAAAACATATATAGCTATATAATCACTTTTAAATATGTTTATTTAAAAATTACAAATTTAAAGGTTTTCTTTTCTCCCTTTTGCTAGCCAGTCTCCGTTGGAGGGCTGATAGTAAACCTTATTGGTATCTGTGCCTTTAGCCATGCTCATAGCCATAACCATGGAGCTTCTCAAGGAAGCTGTCACTCATCTGATCACAGCCATTCACACCATATACATGGACACAGTGACCATGGGCATGGTCACAGCCATGGATCCATAGGCGGAGGCATGAATGCTAACATGAGGGGTAAGTTCTTGCCAAATATTATCCTACCTTTCAACTGTGTTCTAAATGGCCACTCCGTGTTTATTTGTATTAATATTGGCCTTCTGGTATGATTTGATTTTTAAAAAGCAATCTGTGCCTAAAAGAAAGGTCTGAAGTCATCTGTTATAGAAAATACTCATGTTTGTATGTATGTAAAATAGAATATTCAGCCTTTAAAAAGGAGGAAATTCTGTAATATGTAACAACATCATTTAACCTGAGGACATTATGTTAAGTGAACTAATAAGCCAGTCACAGAAAGACAAATACTGCTTGATTTCATTTATATGGGATGAAATTCATAGAATCAAAGAGTAGAGTAACAGTGCTAGAAGGAGGGAGAAATGGAGCTTATTAATCCATAGGCATAAAGTTTTAATTAAGATAAATAAGTTCTAGAGAGTTGTTGTAAAACATTATACCTATAGTCAGCAATAGTATATTATACACTTAAAAATTTGTTAAGAGTATAGTTCTCATGTTAATTGTTCTTACCACATTAAAATAAAAATGTTTTAAATGAAAATACATTTGTTCATAAATGTCAGTTGTTAAATTATTGTAATTATAGAGTCCTTTTCATTTTTAAATTTTTTTAATTTTATTTTTAAAATCTTCAAAATCTCAATATAGGGTCCTTTTCATAGTGACTGTTGAATAAATATTAGTTGCAAGGGAAACACTGAAAGTGTATCACTATGAACCTTCAAGGAAGTATCTTTTCCTTTTTTGGAATTTTTATTGCACTATGAAAAATATGGGGGAAGTATTATGTTGAATTGTTTATCCTGATTATTTAATATAAGCAATTTGGGTAATGTCAAAACTTGACTCAAGCATGATTAGGAAGCCTTTGCAGACAAAGTAACTGCACCACCATAAAACTCACCACACTGTCATAGGTGCCCATGTTTTTATCTTTTTACCACTGTACTCTGAACTCCTTGAAAGCAGTGACCATGTTTTAGACATTTTCAAGTACCTAGCCACTAACAAAGTGTGTAGTGTATAGTAGGTACCCAATAATACTGACAGAATGGATAAAAAAACTAAATTAGATGTTCCTTAATTTTTAATGTTTTTATATATTTTATTTGTAGGTGTATTTCTACATGTTTTGGCAGACACACTTGGCAGCATTGGTGTGATTGTATCCACAATTCTTATAGAACAGTTTGGATGGTTCATTGCTGATCCCCTCTGTTCTCTTTTTATTGCTATATTAATATTTCTCAGTGTTGTCCCACTGATTAAAGATGCCTGTCAGGTTCTGCTTCTGAGACTACCATCAGAATATGAAAAAGAACTACATATTGCTTTAGAAAAGGTACTGTATGTAATTTCTTCAGTATTTTTTTCCTTTTAAAATAGTATTAAAATTGAATAAGTCTCTGGAGCAAGTATTACCAATAAAAAAAAAAAAAAAAAAGAAATTGAATAAGTTGACCTAACAAGAAATGTATAAGATATGAATAAAAAATATACAGTTTTTCTTAAAGGATATAAAACAGGGACTGAATAGATGGAGAGAGACATTTTCTTAGATGAGAGGACTGTATCATAAAGATGTTGATTTTCTTTTATTTAAATCTCAATTCAGCCAGGCTCAGTGGCTCATGCCAGTAATACTAGCACTTTGGGAGGCCAAGCAGGAGGATTGCTTGAGGTCAGGGGTTCAAAACCAGGCTGAGCAAGAGTGAGACCCCCATCTCTACAAAAAAATAGAAAAATTAGCTGGGTATGGTGGTGCACGCCTATAGTCCCAGCCACTCAGGAGGCTGAGGCAAGAGGATTGCTTAATCCCAGGAGTTTGATGTTGCAATGAGCTATGGTGATACCACTGCACTCTAGCCCAGGTGAAAGAGCGAGACCCTGTCTCAAAAACAAAAACAAAAAAAATCTCTGTTTTTGTTTTGGGGGGGTCATAGATAATCCAATATTATTTGAAACTTATTTGGAAGAGTAGTGCTTGAGGAATAATCAAGAAAACATACATAAATTTACAGAATTAATTAATAGAATCCTATTTTGCAATCATAAAGTTACAGAATTAACTTATAAAACTAATAGTAGTTTGGTCCTTGCATAGGAATAAACACATAAATCAATTTTTTAAAAAATAATAGGTTGTCCAGAAACAGACCCAGGAATTCATGGAATTCAGTATATAGCAAAGATGGCATTTCAGATCAGTGGGGAAAAATGATTAATTGACCTAATTAACCAACTTTGGGTTAATTATATCACCACTTGGTGTAAAAGAAAAGCTATAATATCTCTATACCATACCATAACATATAAAAATACATTTCCAAAAGCCAGGCATGGTGGGAGGTGCTTATAGTCCCAGCCCAGCTACTGAGGAGGCTGAGAAGGGAGGATCACTAGAGCCAAGAGTTCAAGTCCAGCCTGGGCAATATAGCAAGACTCCATCTCTAAAAAAAAAAATACATTTCCAGTGGATTAAATACATAAATGACAAAAATTATAAAATGCTTTCATAATCACAGAGGTAGGGATAGCCTTTTTTTTTTTGAGACAGAGTCTCACTCTTTTTGCCCAGGCTAGAGTGCTGTGGCGTCAGCCTAGCTCACAGCAGGGATAGGCTTTTTAATATACTTGAAGTGGAACCAGAAACGAAAAAGGGAAGAAAAATAATCTACAGATATTACCAATTGAAAATTGCCAGTTCGTAAAAGATTTCAACAACAAATATAAAATACAAAAACCAGGAGAAAATATTTGTAACACATATAAACAGGGTAAGGCTTACTATCCATAATCTTTTAAATCAAGAAAAAGACAATCTTGTAGAAAAATAGAATGAGAATAGAAAAAGGCAATTCCTAGAAAAAACAAATATAAAATAGAATATATTTCACCCTGTAGTTTGCCATATCATACTAAAGTAATTGGGATCTGCTGATAAAAAGTTGACATCTTGAATATTTAAGCAATAGCATCTTACTTAACCCATTGTTTCCATAAATAAAATTAGCAATGTTTTCTCACCTTCTCATAATTAGTGAAAACTACATTCTACTTTTTAAAAAGTGTTTTTTATTCCAAAAATAACATATATCCATTATAGTAATCTTCAAAATACAGAAAAATACAAAAAAGAAAAAAAAAACATATAATTTTACCACCTGGAAACACTTTCACAAGTTGTTTTTCTATATAAAAATGTTTTGAAAATAAAAGTGGCTAAAAAACACTTTTATACTGTTTTTTTTTTGTATTTTTTTTCTAGGCTAACCTTTAATGCAACTTTTATACTGTTTTATAAATTATGTCACATTGATAAATATTCTAATACTTTTTTTTTTTTTTTTTAATTTTTATTTTTGAGACAGAGTCTCACTCTGTTGCCCAGGCCAGAGTGCCATGGCATCAGCCTAGCTCACAGCAACCTCAAACTCCTGGGCTCAAGTGATCCTCCTGCGTCAGCCTCCCAAGTAGCTGGGACTACAGGCATGCGCCACCATGCCCGGCTAATTTTTTCTATATATTTTTAGTTGTCCAGCTAATTTCTTTCTATTTTTTTTAGTAGAGACGGGGTCTTGCTCTTGCTCAAGCTGGTCTCCAACTCCTGAGCTCAAACGATCCGCCCGCCTCGGCCTCCCAGAGTGCTAGGATTACAGGCGTGAGCCACTGCGCCCGGCTTCTGATACATTTTTAATGACAGCATAGTATTACATTGTATGGGTAGTCAGTAATTTATTTAACCAATCCTCTCATTGAACATTGAGGGTATCTTTTGAATGTGTTACCTCTATATAACAAATAATGTTTATATGTATGTATCAGTGTAAAGGAAACCATGTATTTCATTGGCTATTGGATATGTCCAGGTAATGTTAAGAATAGGCAAAGTTGTATTATATCAGTGAAAATAGGGGCATGAATGTTCACAAAAGCCAAATTTGGGTATAAAGACCCTATAACTCTCATTTGCCTTCCTATTCAGAGCTACCTTCCTGGCATCACTCATGGGCCAGAATATTTTAGGCACCTTTTACTTCAAACTAGTGCCTTTCCTATTCCTTCCTACTTCTGGCCTCTGCTCATTATTTTATTTTATTTTTTTTCTTTTTTAAATCAGCTAAATAGTGATTCCTGGACCAAGGAATCTGTGTTTACTTTCTATCAGAAAGTATTTCCATTAAGTTAAGTAAATTAGACCATTTATATCACCTCTTCTTTTTATTTGTCAGATACAGAAAATTGAAGGATTAATATCATACCGAGACCCTCATTTTTGGCGTCATTCTGCCAGTGTTGTGGCAGGAACAATTCATATACAAGTGACATCCGATGTGTTGGAACAAAGAATAGTACAGCAGGTAATAATCTTTTTGTTTTTAAAGTAACTTTGCTGAGACAATTCATGAATAAAATTGCACAGATCATAAGTTATATGGCTCAGTAGTCATATACTATTCAAAAGTATCAATCTTTGAGCTGTCCCAGGGTAATATAACTTACTTTTTACATCTAGATTTGTTTTCTATCCTAAAATAAAGTCACGTTTCCATATTTAGAGGACAAGCTTAAGTTAGTATAAAAAAATTCATTTATGGTCCATCTTGGTACCCAGTAAATTATGAGTTACTATAAATATATCCCTAAATTAATAATAATAATAAAGTTGGCAGTGTATATGCTATGTTTGGAGATAGGAATCAAAACAGTTCCTTTACTTGCAGATGGTGATTTGAGAAAAATGAATGAATGAATAAATAAATAAAAACAGTTCTTAAAGCCCTATTCCAGGTAAACCAAATTGGAAACAATAGCTGTTTTCCTTTTCTACTGTGAATGTCAAGTCAGTAATTTACTGACCTTCTAAAACATTCTAATATTTTGATGAACTAAATAATAAACATTACTTTGAGGATTTATCTTGGGCTATCTATAACCATAAAAAATATGATACAGGTTCAATATCCAAAATGCTTGGGACCAGAAGGGTTTTAAATTTCAAATTTTTTTTCAGATTTTGTAATATTTGCATCATACTTACCAGTTCAGCGTCCCTAATCCGGAAATCCAAAATGCTCCAATGAGCATTTCCTTTGAGTGTCATGTTGGCACTCAAAAAGTTTCAGATTTTGGAGCATATTAGATTTCAGATTTTCAAATTAGGGATACTCAGCCTGTATCAGTTATTTATGACATATTAATACATGTATACTACATGCATTATTTAAATGTTTTAAAATATCTGGATTTTTATAACAGGTTACAGGAATACTTAAAGATGCTGGAGTAAACAATTTAACAATTCAAGTGGAAAAAGAGGCATACTTTCAACATATGTCTGGACTAAGTACTGGATTTCATGATGTTCTGGCTATGACAAAACAAATGGAGTCTATGAAATATTGCAAAGATGGTACTTACATCATGTGAGATAACTCAAGAATTACCCCTGGGGTACAAACAATGACAATTGAAGAACTCAGTATTTGTAGTATTGCCAGAAGGATGAAAATTGCACATAATTGTACAGGAACTTTTCAAGCTCTCTACGATCGGATCAAGGAATCTTTCTTAAAGGAAATTTAAATACAGAATGAAGTATTAATTATACAAGTAAAATAATTATTGTTCGGATTATGTGTATAAAGGAATCTTAAAGTTTGAGTGAACGTAAGGTATCACATCATCTTCAAAAATGGAGACATAATGATGGATTCCAGTGAAGACCAAAATTATTTCTGTTTGTTTACTTTCTACCAGAAAGCATCTTCATTGTAAATATGTATTTACATGTTTATTACAAAGACCTAAACGAGAAATTTTTAGTCGATTTTTTGCATAGCCTAAGGATAAAATAGGAATAAAAGTTCTATATTTATGGATTTTCTGTATATAAACTGGTTTCTAATTATAACTTAAGTCCATTAAGTAAAATCTGTATTGCCACTTTAAATGTAAACTAAATTATTTGGGAGAAACTTCAACCACTGGTATGAGATGAATGAGAATAGGAAAGTATAACATTACAGTTTTTGATGTATTATGAAAATCAACCACTCTGTAAAATAAATTTTTTTACTTTTGGTAATATTTGCAAGTGAATAATTAATTTAGTAGGGTAAAGAACTCATACTAAATTGTGTCCATGTTATTCATTCACTTGTCATCGTCCTCCAAATTAGAATATTCCATTTCTTATTATACATTTGGCATTCCAAGCTGCTTATCAAGCTGGTATCTAAGCAATGCAGGGCTTCTCATTTTTTCATTTAGCTCCATATGTTGTAGAACAGCCAGTTAAGAGAATCATAAACAATTGTCAACTCAGAGTTAAATTCTCTGCCTATGGATGTCACATTTTTCCTAATTTCTAGAACATATATAAGAAATATCAAAAAGTAGGTAACTATATCAAGGTTTAGTAAGTAAAACTTGTCCATAAACATTTGGACACCATGAAATCAAAATACCATACAACTACTTTCTGTAGTAATACATAATTTATATTTTTTCATTTCCAATTTTGACTGGATATGTAGTCTGAAAAAACTTTATGATGATAGATAGATATGTAATAATATATGCAGTCTTATGAACACCAAAGAATGTTGTCCAAAAGAAACTTTTGAATACCTATCTATTTATAAACATCTGAATATTTTCATTCTTATACTAAGAATTTTGATAAGTAGGTTGAATTTAGTATGGGTACTATTTTCTTATCTATATGATAATAGCAAACATGTATTGTAAATCATATTTTTGTCATGCCAATTTTAATATGCGAGGGGTTTTAGAAATTTGTTGTAAGTTATTTTGATATTTCTTGTCTTTGCACATTTTTTGGTCCAGAATCTTCAATATATTAAAAATTCTGAGTGGTGGGAAAATAACTGCATATTGATGTTTTAATGCAATTTTTATACAGTAAAATTTGTTTTAAGTAGATAGCAAGGTATAATAAATATTATACCAATATTAAAATTGTCATTCCCCTTAGGAGGTATATAAACAGCAAAAAAAAAAAAATTAATGTACTTGTGAGAGAAAGGAAAGGGGCTGAAGGTTAAGGGGTGCAAGTGAAAAGTAGGGAAACTCTAGTATTGAAAACTCCAGGGTACTGTGCTTCAGCTCATAGAAACCACACAACTTGAGGCAAATCAACCTCTCTGGGTATTTTTTTGTGTTATACATAAAATCAGTAAAATCTGCTCAAAACAACTTCACAGAGTTCGGAACAAAAGGAATTATGTTCATACAGATGTGGCAAGGATAAAAGAGAAAAAAGGAAAAAAAAGGAATTATGTATGTGAAAATGAATGGCAAGCTGAAAAGAGCTAAATAAAGTTGAGGAATTTTTATTATTTTAGCCTTCAAAGGTAGCTGTTAATTAATTTTTCTCTTTTTTCTAAAAATTAGTATCCCAAGAGATTAGATGTTTAGTATATAAATAAGTTTCAAATAATACTCAAAACAGAGGCCTGTTTAATAGTCTATTTGCCCTGTTAGTGGCTGTTTATATACCTATTTAAGTTCTTTTTCTTCCCTTTCTCTCTAACTATTGTTTTCCTTTGTTATCAATTTGAGAGCTCGTGATTTACATTTAAAATAAACTTGGTGGGGCCACATCTGTAATCCCAACACTTTGGGAGGCTAAGGTGGGAGGATTGCTTGAGAAGTTTGGGACCAACCTGGGCAATATAGCAAGACCCTGTCTCTAAGGGGGAAAAAAATAAACTTTACATCTTTTATAATATGTATTTATTGCTCCTTTAACATAATAACTGATCAAACTTTAAACTTTTCTGATTTCATCAGAAAAACAATGAAGCTACATAATCAGATTATCTCTAATCAAAGGATTCTGGTTTTACTTTACATTTGGATTATGATTCTCCCCTAAAATGTCTCCTTATTAATGCAGAGATGCATGGTTTTACTATTAATGGTCACACAGTCCAAAGTTCAAAAAAGTCAATGGCACTCTGTAACACAGATACACAGCTCTCCTCTCTAGAAATTATCATTCTTGTCAGTTTTTAGTATGTTTTTCCAGGCATTTTATGCATATATAAGCAATTACATGTATTATTTTTCACATAGAAATTATTCCATAACTGAAACATTAAAAAGCATCCTCATTTTTTAGCTACCTAGTAACCCTATTTTTTCTTTTTTTAGAAAGGCCCATCGCTTCAGTGTATAGTAACCCTAGTGATGAATTTTTTTAGGTTGATTCTAATCTTTTGCTGTTGTAGACAATGCTAACATGAGTAGCCTTGTACAGACATCACTTTGCATATCTGCAAATAAATAGGATAAATTCCTACAAGTGGAATTTCAGGGTCAAAGGGTTTAGAACATTTATAAGTTGAAAAATATTGCTAAATTGCATTCAGTAGGGATTTTAACAGTTTACCTTCCCACCAGCAATGTGAAATATTTTAAAATGGAAATAGGCAAACATTTCTTATGGCCTTAATTGGTAGCAAGTTAAATATGCAGGGAGATTATACATAGATGTTGAGCTGAGTTCACTTATAAAGCCACTAATGTTCATTTCATTTTAGAGTGATTTTCTGGAAAATTTTCTAGTAAATTATATAATTCAATTAAATTAAAATTTTAAATTATCAAACTTTTCTTTCTTGTTCCTTGTGTCCACAACACAATTTCTGACACAGATGCCCAAAGATGGTTATTATATTCTGGGCATATAGAAACATACTGTATTGTTACATATTTTCTGATATTTTTATTGAGGTTGAGATATACTCAATATACAATACACAGATTTTTTTTTTTCTGTTTTAGAGGCAGAGTCTCACTCTGTTGCCCAGGCTACATTACAGTGGCACAATCATGGCTCACTGCCACCTCAAACTCCAGGGCTCAAATGATGCTCCTGTTCCAGCCTCCCAACTAAGTAGCTAGGATTACAAGCACGAACCACCACACCCAGCTAATTTTTTTCTTTTTTGTAGAGGCGGGGTCTTGCTATGTTGCCCTGGCTGGAAAATATACAAATCTTAAGTGCTTAGTTGAGTGAAGTGGTGAGGATATGAAGCAACTGGAACTCACACACTGCTAAAGTTAAACATATATCCACCCTATGACCCAGCATTTTCACTCCTAAGTGTTTACCCAAGATAAACGGAAGCATGTATTTACAAAAAGACTTGTAAAAGAATGAACTTATTCATAATAGCAAAATCTGGAAACGACCCAAATGTCCATCAATAAGAGAATGCCTAAATAAATTGTAGTGTATTCATAATGAAATAGTAGTAAAAAATAAAATTACTGTTACAATACAGAAGAACCTCAAAACATTATATTAAATGAAAGAAGACAGACAAAAGAGTTCATATGGTATGATTTCATTTATATGAAATCCAAGAACAGATAAGACTAATCTATACTGATAGAGCACAGAAAGTGCTTTGTATTAGTTTTCTATTACTGTTCTAACAAATTACCACAAACTTAGTGGCTTGAACAACACAACTATTACTGTTCTGTAGGTCACAAGTCCAATATGGGCCTCAGTAGGCTAAACTCAGGGTATCAGCCAAGTTACATTTCTTCCTGGAGCATCTAGGGGAGAATCTGTTTGTTTGATCATCCAGGTTGTTGGCTGAATTTAGTCCTTATAGACCTGGAACTGCGGTCCCTGTTTCTTCACTGGTCCCAACTCCTAGATGCCACCTGCATTCCTTGGCTTGTGGCCCCCTTCCTCCATCTTCAGAACCAGCAAGAGCAGGTCACCTGCTTCTCACTCTTCAAATCTCTCCTGCCTTTTCTTTCACTGTTACATCTCTCTGACCCACTCTTCTGACTTCCTCTTCTACATTTAAAGACACGTGATTACATTGGGCCCACCCAGGTAATCAAGGATATTCTCCCCATCTCAAAGTCTTCAAAGTTCCTTTGGCCATGTAAGATAACATATGTACAGGTTCCAGGCATTAGGGCATGGATGTCTTTGGAAAATTGTTATTCTACCTGCCTGTTCTCCATGGTTGTCTTATACAGGTAGGGGATTTGTTGGAAAAGGGTAAGGAGGATCTTTTTGGAGTGATGGAAATGTTCTCTATCTTGATCAGGGTGGTGGTTACACAGGTATATACAATTGTCAAGTCTTGAAATATAATTTAACTTGTAAATTTTGCATTTTCTTTTTCAAGTGTTTTATATTTTGCTTGTAATAATTTATTTAGAAGCGACTTTGTGCTAGTACTGTATTAAGCACTGTGCATAATCATCTCATGCATTTTTTTTCTCCTAAGTACTCTGTTAACACATGGTAAGTTTGTTTTAACTGATCAAGTTTGATAATGCAGTATATAGTTTTCCATTGCTGTTGTAACAAATTAGCACAAACTTAGTGGCTTAAACAACACAACTTTACTATCTTACGGTTCTGTAGGTCACAAGTCCAGTATGGGTCTCAGTAGGCTAAATTCAGGGTATCAGCAGAGTTGCATTTCCTCCTGGAGCATCTATAGTATAGTCAACTAGATTCTTTCAGATACATACTGTTCCAATTTATGGCGATTTTCCATTTGAATTTAAAGTCCAACGAGGTTTCTCCCTGCAACAAAGTATAGTACATAGATTTGTCAATATTACTATTCATACAGTTATGAAAGCCTGCTTAAGAAAATAATGCAATATTTTATTTATGGCTTGGAAAACATTAAAAAAAAACTCATTTAAGACTATACTTTCAGAGTATGCTGTCTCTAAAATCAAAAAAAAAGACTGTACTTTCAGGGATGATTTCCATAGTTCGTTACTAGAAAGTCCGTCCCCTAATGGGGCCGGTATGTTTCAAAAGGATCAGGAGAGGAAATTGAGAGTGGAATATAGGGATCAGTTGGAAGGCTTTTGCTGAAGCCGAAGTGAGAGAGAATGGTAATTTGAACTAGGTAACATATTCATTGGCTCTTATTCGTTAAGTTTGCTGTTTAAGGTAAAAAGGATGTGGTGGCTCAGGCCCGTAATCCTAGGACTCTGGGAGGCCAAGGTGGGAGGATTGCTTGAGGTCAGAGTTCGAGACCAGCCTCAGCAAAAGCGAGAGTCCGTCTCTACTAAAACATAGAAAGAAATTATCCAGGCAACTGAAAAAAAAAAATAGAAAATTAGCTGGGCATAGTGGTGCACATGTGTAGTCCCAGCTACTCGGGAGGCTGAGGCAAGAGGATGGCTTGGGCCCAGGATTTGGAGGTTGCCGTGAACTAGGCTGATGCCATGGCACTCTAGCCTGGGCAAAAGAGCAAGACTGTCTCAAAAAAAATAAATAAATAAAAAAATTAAAAGATGAATCTGACACAAACCCTGTCTTCAATATGCTTATTACAGTAAGGAAGAGAAGACATGTAAATAGATATAATTAAAGATTTAGAGAGATTTGGTGCCCTAAGTGGTTAGCAAAGTTCAGAATGTGGAGGTTACTTTTAGCTGAAGGCAAGAGGGCAAGGTTTCACAAAGGAAGTGGCATTGGATAGACCTAAGGGACAGTGAGCTTTGGAAGTATGATGGCAAGGGGAGTCATTCCACCTGGAGTGAACTGTGTAAACTCATTGGTGGTTCAGGTTTGTATAATCATGGCTTTCAGGTATGGGATTATAGTAGCTGTATAGCAGGCCTATGGTTGAGGAAGACTAGGATCAGGGATTTGAAGGTATTCAAATACCAGGCTAAATATCTGTTACTCTCCCTCTCTTTTTTGTCTTTTTTGAGACAGAACCTCACACTGTTGCCCAGGCTAGAGTGTCGTGGTGTCAGCCCAGCTCACAGCAACCTCCAACTCGTGGGCTCAAGCAATCCTCCTGCCTCAGCCTCCCAGGTAGCTGGGACTACAGGCATGCACCACCATGCACAAAAT